GTTCCTACTATCTCTGAGTTTTTAATGAGGTTGATGAGGTAAGTGGTTAATGAGTATTTTGCTTCTAAAAGACATTTCATAAAGTCATATTCAGCAAGACAGTAAATTTGAAACTCATGGAATAATAGGAACAGTAGCAGAATGGATATGAGATTGGCTAATCACTTGTAATGTTGAACACTGCTGTTTGTATTTTTGCAAGTGTGGGCTGGTTGGGTACAGTCAGAACCTTACATGTTACAAATAGCCAAAAGGATATGTTTGATACAATCCTCATTCATTCAGGATATATATCAAGCAGCATACAGCACTGCAGTTCATATCTCACATTACACGCTTGTGTGATAGGCAGAACGTCTTTACATCTTGATTAAATGGAAGCCGGTCAATTTAACATCAGTCCCGGTCAATGTTTTAGAAACAATAATCTGGAACTAAATTGAACATTACCTGGATAAGTATTGTTTAATAAAGGAAAGCCAGTACAGATTTGTATTTCTTGTACAGCAAATGGTAAGGTCCTAAGGAGTGTTGTGGAACAGAGGGACCTAGGAATGCAAGTACCTAGTTCATTGAAAGTGGCATCACAGGTGGACAGGATGGTGAAGAAGGCATTTAGCATGCTGGCCTTCATTGGTCAAGGCATTGAGTATAGGAGTTGGGCCGTTATGTTACAGTTGTATAAGTATTTGTTGAGGCCACACTTGGAGTATTGTGAACAGTTTTGGTCACCTTATTATAGGAAAGACAGTTAAACTGGCAAGTATGCAAAGAAGATTTATGAGGATGTTGCCAGAACTAGTAGGCCTGAGTTATAGGGAGAGGTGTGCCAGATTAGGACTTTATTCCTTGGAACGTAGGAGAATGAGGGGTGACCTTATTGAGGTGTATAAAATCATGAGGGACATAGAATGAATGCATATAGTCTTTTCCCAGGGATGGGGAATTGAAAACTGGAGGGTATAGGTTTTAAGGTGAGAGGGGATAGATTTAAGAAGGACGTGAGGGGCAACTACTTCACGCAGAGAGTGGTGTGCGTATATGGAATGGTCTGCCAGAGAAAATGGTTGAGGCAGGTAAATTGCAAATTTTTTTTAAAAATTGGATAGGTACATGGATGGAAAGGGTTTCGAGGGATATGGGCCAAATTGGAACTAGCTGCGTGGGCACCATGGTCGGCATGGACCAGTTTGGGCCGAAGGGCCTGTTTCCATGCTGTATTACTCTATGAAGGCAAATGTGATTGCACATTTGACCAACTTTTTCTAAATAACTTCATTACACTGACAGCCAATTTAAGATCATCAGTTAGGCTGACACTCTGGTGCACTTGCAGGAAGCTGCAAATATTAATACAGTTTTTTTTTGCAGACTGAATATGTATGCAGGTTATTCCTGTTTCAATTTAATGAAATAGGTAACAGCCATTTTTTTGGTTAATTCCTCAGCAATGCTTTGACTAATCAAACTGCCTGCTAAAACTTGACAATTAGATCTCTGAGTCATTGTCACGCACTGGTTAGATGGCTACTATCTATCAGACTCCACTAGCCAAGCAATCAGCATTCCCCTTTCATACAGTTTCAACATGTTGTTCCTCTTTACATTGGTATTGTAGTGAATATCCTGATGAGTCCAAGACAAAGCTTTCACAATATGTATTTTTTCAGCTATACTAGGGTGCAAAATCTTGGGTTTATGTGCGCAAATCATTGTAGAGCAGATTAGTAAGTGGTTATCAAAAAGATGGTTTTTTTATATATACATTCATGGTGTCATAGCTAATCCTGCTTTTATATCATTCCTAATTGCCCTTGAGGTGGTAATATTGAGTTGCTTTCTTGAACTACTGCTGTTTTTTATAAATGGAGGCACAGAATAGCAAAGCAAGGAAGTTTGCAAGAATCTTTATAAAGCATCATTTTGGTCTCAACTGGGGATTTTCTACAATTCTAGGCAGCACTTTTTAGGAAGGATGAAAAGGCTTTAGAGAGGTTGCAGAAAAGATTTACAAGAATACTTTTTCAGATGATGACTTCAAATTACATTGATTGGTAATGCAGATTGTTCTCCTTAGCAAAGGTTTGAGAAGAGGTTTGATGGGGATATTCAAAACCATGAAGGGTATAGACAAAATGGTTGGAGTGAAGCTATTCACTATGTCCTCAAGTCAAGGACAAAAAAATAAACATTGGCATAAAAACCAAACATTTAAGTAATAATAATTTAACTGAACAATTGTTCAACATTCTTTATTGCTCATTTATCAATATTATTGGCTGTGATACCACTCAAATACAATATTTCATACAAGCAACATAGAAAATTAATGTGCATTGCTAAAACTATGCTTTACTATCACAAGACATGAGAACTATGAAAATGAAGAACTGGAACTGAATGGAGCTATTCTAAGAACGTTAAGTAAGGGGAATGTGATTTAATACATGACTCATTCATTTCATATAAACGTATATGCAAAATTATGATTTAATGGATAAGATGGGAACTAACTGTGAAGATTAAATTCCACAGTCAGTCATGCATTTATGGGATAGACTGCCACCTAGTGCAATAAATGCTAATTCAGTTAGTGTATGATAGGATGTTATAAAATTATTATTTATGCAACAAGTAGTTGGGGGTTTTGTTTTGGAGCAGAAGAAATGTATAACAGATTTAAGTGAGCTAAATAAGGCAAACCTTCTCAACCTTCTTTGTCATTTATTTTCTGTCCACTTTTTCAATTGATAAGTAGGATATTTTCAAACAGAGGTCCTTTGGAAATCGCTGCAGATTAATTCTGACTTGAACAACTATTTCATACAGGAACAATTTGATGTGAGTACTATGGTGAAAGTCATTCCGGAAGTTGACAAAAAACATGAAGTTGAACAACAACCTGATCAAGTTGTTGTAATTCTCAAATTACTGGACAGGAAAGCTGTTTAAAAGGATGCCTCTGGATTGATACCTAGCTGAAAGCCTCTCATGTCAAACTAGAAAAACATCTGATTCAGGTCTAATGAAAGGCCTGGGCATTCCTTTATCTGGAGAGACAATTTGAATCAGATAGTTTGACGAGAATCAAGAGACTATAGTGTAAATTACATAAGCCGAGAACATGTTAGACAACAAGGTTTTTATCATCTACTTTAGCTTAATAGTGAATTGATTAATTGCATATATTCTAAAGGGAGCTGAATGAATATTTTCTGAGTGATATCACAGTATGTGAGATTGCTAGGCCGTTGTGGTGCAGTGGTAGTGTTCCTACTTCTGTGCGAGGAGGCCTGAGTTCAAGTCGCACCTGCTCCAAGGTCTGTCATAGCACATCTGAAGAGGTTGTTTAAAAATATCTTTTAAAAATAATTGCTAGAATATTGATCACTGACTGAATGATGTAGCATCTGTTTGCAATCAGGTTTTGGAGAGGAATTTCCCAAATTTTTGCTTCCAAGTTAGCCTAGTGTTTCTATAAATGTTTCCTTGTAAATGAATGAGCTTCTCTTACAAAGCATTTCCATATGTTTGTTTAAAAATTAACTTAAAGAGCCTTTTTCTCGATTTGGTTCCAAATTTCAAAATATGATTGAAATGATGAAAATATATTATTAACAGTGATAGCTTCTTACTGGAATAAAATAGTTTATTTCAGAGTTTATATTGTTGGGGGGGGGTGAAAGAAAAAGGTTTGGTTTGGAGAAATTGAGCCCACTGGATTTGGTGAGAGTCAAAGCATTAAAATGGTCCCAACCACTTTTAGTGAAAATGTATTCGCACACAAAGTAAACTGGAGTGACATAAAGCTGAATCTAAGTGCAGTAATAGAATAAATGTAACATT